TCTCTTTACAGACCTAGGCTAGGTTTCGTAACCTCCATATCCATTATATCATCATTATTTATTATTATTATTTACAGTAGTACCTCAGGTTACGAACTTAATTCGTTCTGGAGGTCCATTCCTAAACTGAAACTGTTCTTAACCTGAGGTACCACTTTAGCTAATGAGGCCTTCCGCTGCTGCCGCGCCGCCATCACGCGATTTCTGTTCTCATCCTGAAGCAAAGTTCTTATCCCGAGGTACTATTTCTGGGTTAGCGGAGTCTGTAACCTGAAGTGTCTGTAACCTGAAGCCTCTGTAACCCAAGGCACCACTGTATTATTATTTATTTATTATTATTATTCCCACTCCCCCCCCCCACAACCAGGACTTAGGGTAGCACATAAAAATCAAAACAAATACAGATAAAATACACATAGCTAAAAGCATAAAATGTTATTAAAAATAATGAAATTATCTGCTAAAATGCACACACACACACACACAGAGAGAGAGAGAGAGAGAGAGAGAGACTTACGTGCAACACATTATTAAGTCCTTTTTCCTTAAAAGCAGAAATGTTCCCCAAAACTGTCACCTCAGGTGGCACACTGGGGACATCTGGGAATGGCAGCTGATCTGGGCCCTGAGGAATCCGCCACTCACCACCTCCTGTGCTTATCATTCCCTCCTCACCATAGCTGTCAACTTTTCCCTTTTCTTGTGAGGAATCCTATTCAGAATAAGGGAATTTCCCTTAAAAAAAGGGAAACGTTGACAGCTATGCACCTCACCCACCCACCCCTCTTCTCTTCTCCAGCCTCTGTTTCTCCTCCACCACCTTCAGCACGCCTGGGCTCTCTCAGGCCACCTCCAGTTGCCTCAGGTGGAAGGGGATTGGTGGCAGCAGCAGCCGGTACTATTTTCTGTTTGTAGCAAAATGTCCTGGGCTACCCTGCACCAAGATAATCTTTGGAGGTTCTCAAATTGCCTCTGCCACGTCAGGTAAGGAATGTAGTGACAAGAGAGTGAGGCTTTTCAGTGGCAGCACTCCATTTCTGGAATTCCCTGCCCTCCCCAAAAGCCTTAGTTATATGTTTTGGACCCCACAAACTGCTTGTTACACAGAAAGGAAGAACTGAATTCTATTTAGTATCTGCAAGCTGTTCCTGCTTTTGCAAGGAGCCTCAAAGATTAATGTTAAGCTCACCTTTGAACACCTTGCAGGATTTTTGTATGTGCTGAATTCACTGCCTTGGCATCACAAAGAAATTTCATGCGGTCTCCCCTTTCTGCTTTTCATACAGCTGAGAAATCAGGCGTTGTGTTTAAATACGATCATGTAAATAGCAGAAATTAAGAAAAATTGGGAGACTATTTGTGGGAAATGCTTTTCAGTGAAACATTTGGTCCTGGCAAATATTAACCACTCTCAATTCCAACCTGATAATTGCTACCTGCCCAGATTTTAACTTGTCTGAATTAATTTTAAGATGTATTTTAATTAATTGATGTCTGCTTTTATGCATATTGTGTTGTTTTTATGATGTTAGCCACTCTGAGCCCAGCCTTGGCCGGGGAGGGCGGGATACAAATAAAAAAATATTATTATTATTATTATTTTCCGACTGGCATCACATTGCAGGTCTCATTGCACTCTTCCTGTTTGTGGAAATTCTGGATCATCAAGCGCTTGAGCCAAATGTTAGTGCCGGCAAATCACAGCTCATAAAATGTGTAGCGTTTCTTGCAGCAACATTATGCAACAGACACCACTAAGTGGCAGTGCTGCGCAATTCGTCATCCCCGAAGCTGCTCTTACTCTCTATTTGCCGGCACCGTATATTCTGCAGCGTGTCATCGATGCTTAAATCCTTCATTAATGGTGGCTTTATACCTGACTGTCTGCACATCATTCTGCCTTATTAGTGGTTCTCTGATGCTCCCCCAGTGTTACTGCATTATTGCTACTTAGAGAGGCACTCTTGCAACAAAAGCAGGGACCGAATAGACAGGCTAAACTGGAACACCTGTGGCATAAAAAGCTGCAGGATTTCAGCATGAAGGCTGTGGGACTTTCAGCAATTAGAAATGAAGCAAAACTTTTGCAGGCAAAACACTACTGAAACCAGGATTGCATATAACTGTCCCTACACCATGCTGAGCTCAAATAATAAACGCACAATAAAAAGGACACCTGGAAGCCAGCACACAAGCAAAAGGTTCGTTTGTCTTTTCTTGCCCAGGGGGGCCACCAGCAAAGGCCTTTGCCACACTTGTTAAGTTGTGAGTGAACATATCAGACGACACAGTGATTCTTCAAACAGCTCTTGTTTATTCACAGGCCAGAACAGAACTGAACTGAAGGGTTCAGCCAGCCTGCTTATATAGAGCTCCACTACAACGCAACAGTAACCACTTTCTGTAACTATCCAATCACTGAACATCACTTTCAGTCCCTTATTTGCATATGTGGACCTGAGTGAAAACTATCTACAGTATCCCCTTGCTGGCCCAGGGTGAGAACTTCAGTACATAACAACACTGTCATAGAATTATAGAACTGTAGAGTTGGAAAGGAACCTCAGGATCATCTTCTAGCCCAGGGGTCAGCAAACTTTTTCAGCAGGGGGCCAGTCCACTGTCCTTCAGACCTTGGGGGCGGGGGGCGGACTATATTTTGAAGGGGGGGGGAATGACCAAATTCCTATGCCCCACAAATAACCCAGAGATGCATTTTAAATAAAAGCACACATTCTACTCATGTGAAAACACACTGATTCCCGGAGCATCCGCGGGCCAGATTTAGGCGGCAATTGGGCCAGATCCGGCCCCCGGGCCTTAGTTTGTCTACACATGTTCTAGCCCAATGTAGGAATATGCAGCTGTCCCGTACGGGGAGTGGACAGACAACCTTGCTGTTATCAGCAGCACACTATCTGAGCTATCCAGTTCAAATTTTGTTCTCATACATCCTGCTGATCAAAATTTGGATGCACATTTTTGGCTCTCGAGCTCTTGCGGGAGTCTCTTTTGGAGAAGAATGTCTGTTGGTCCAGCACTCTGGCATGAGCCAGCTGATTTGCGACAGAGCACGAGACCCAAAAACCACCAGGACATTCTGGGATCCAATCAAAAGCCAGGATGGCTTCTCTAATTTCCTGGGTGTCCCACTCAATTCAAGACAGTTGAATTGCACTCTTTCTCTAGGCCTTTCAGCTCCTAGGTATCCGTACCTTGGTTGTTTCCCAGTATGTTTCCAAGCACAATTCAAAGTGTTGGTGCTGACTTTTAGAAGACATCTACCAGACTTTTAGAAGACATCTGAAGGCAGTGCTGTTTAGGGAAGCTTTTAATGTTTAATAGGTTATTGTATTTTAATATTCTGTTGGAACTAGCCCAGAGTGGCTGAGGAAACCCAACCAGATGGGCAGGCAGGAAACAAACAAACAAACACAGGAGTGAGCAGTTGTGGTGCTTACTATGGAGGAAGGCTCCAGCAAATCATCTGTTGCTGTTCATGTTGGGAAGGGGGGCACCCAGGACCCCGCTGTCTTATTTCACGTTGCCTGCTGACCTTGGCACCGAGTGCCCACCAGGACAGGCAGAAATCTTTGAGTTTTAGAAGGTTGTTGACAAATACTCCTTCTAAACAGATTCGCAAGCCAAGCAACACAACTCAGGTAGCAAAACTTGCAGGTTGCTCACTGCAGCTGGACTTGCTCATAACAGGGGGAGGTGAGGGGAGGAGAATGCACGGTCCCTTTCCTGAATGATGCAAGTTAATCTGGCAAGATGAAATATACTCAGAGTTGAGAGTGAATTACATGCTCTTTATTCAGCTCGTAGTAGCAATGAATGAAACTTTCCCCAAAACTTCTAGCTATATATACATATTATTTACACAATGGGCCCTGTGTGACTGGCTAACTCCGGGCTGTTCCTGTAGGCCAATCAGATCACTGATTCACTTCCACCTGGAGCTGGATTGGGTGGTTCCTGCGGACCAATCAGACTGCTGCATTCTGGATCCTCTTGTTCTAGGATTCAGCTCAGTACATAACACAAGATATTACACCTGCCACCCAAAAAGACCTCAAATCCACATTTGAAAGGTGCTGTGTTAAGTCTGTTACATAAAAAGCAATGAAGGGTCTTATGGCACCTTAAAGTTTAACAGATTTTATTTTTGCATAAGCTTTCATGGCCTGAAATCTGTTTCATCAGATGCATGTGTGTGTTTGTACACACACACAGGCACTGTAGTAAGTGTGAGTTGAAAGCTGTGGCGTGACAGAAAACGAAATGCAAAACTACAGATAGTGACATTTCAATTGGAGCTAGAATGTATGCAAAATAAGCACAGTTGACCCTTCAGAACAGCAGTGATAGGTGATAAAACAATTAACTCGGCAATGTGGAGTTAATTAACATCTGTAGTGGGAAAGGAAACATTCTCTCTATTCAGACCCAAATGAATAGAGTTTCACGCTCCAGTTTCATCCTGGAGGCTCCTTTTGAAATCCCTTTGTTCAAGCAAGGACACCTTAAGATCAGTGTCAGAGTGTCCTGATAGATTGAATATCACCCCCCCCCTTACAAATATTGCCATTTTTGATGTCAGATTTGATCGTTTTGTAGGCTGAGCCTAGTCCATGCCAGGGAATCGTTGGCCCGCGTCCTCAGATCCAGAGAGAGAGTAAAAGAAAACACCAGGAAAGATCCTTCTTTGGAGGAAAGCAGTTTTATTCTCTGTGCACAGGAGACAGCCAGCAGAATAATTTCTGGAGGACTGACTGCCCCGCAAGACACTTCAGCAGACTTTCTTATACCTTCAGAAAGCTCTCTCCCTCCTCCCCACGCCCTCCAGAAACTTCCCCAATCAACTGGAAAGTTTTCAACTTATTTTTAGCATGTCTATAGCCCTCTAAACAGCCCTCCCTATTGTTCCCTATAGTGTCTTTCTAAGCGTCCTGCATCCCCTCGTCCCACCTCCTCCTCCCGTCTCCCCGTATGTGTCCTTTTTATCTTGCATTCCTAAGGTAAGAAAGCGAGGCTATTCTGCAGGTCTGGCTGTCTCTAGCCTCTGTCTTATCTTGCATTCCTTCGAGGGGCCTTTTTTGCAGGTGAAGTTATTTCTAGCTCAGAAATTGACTTAGATCCAAGGTATAGAAGAATATGAAGATCCTTCTTAGGCAAAGGTACAAAATATAGAAAGCAAAGGTACAACATATAGAAAGCAAAGGTACAAAATATAGAAAGCAACCCTTCCCTCTCCCTTCAATCCCTCCTCTTCTTATGAACAACCTATTACTTAGGTTCGTTCTGGGGTAGGGGTCTATAATCTCTCATGAAAGCAATCACGCGAGGTCCCATCATGCGAGACATCATCTTCTCCATCATATTTTGCATACATTGCATCAAGCAGGGCATACAGAAGCAGAAAAGCAATAGAAGCATTATTGGACCTATCACCATAGTAAATATCCTCCCCATCCATCCACCTGGGAAGATGCCGTCCAACCAAGACATATCCCAGCCCTCCCAGGTTTGTACAGGAACATGTGCTACCTTTTCAATGCTTGCTGCCAGATCACGGATAGCCTCGCCATGGTCTGAAATGTTGAAGCAACATGCTCCACCTGTGAGATTTAACGCTGCACAAAAGCCTCCATGTTGCGCCAGGAGAAAGTCCAATGCTAATTGGACTGAGAGAAACGCATTGCGTGTCTCATCCAATTGCGTGGCAATTAGCCTAAGGGCCGTGGCTGTCGTGTTAGCAACAATCTCTACCACTGCCTGGAGTCTGATTACGCGGTTCAAGTTATAGATCGGCCCCCTTGCCCCAGAGATTTTCTCTCCCCGATTCCATGAGGCTGGAGCATAATGGGCCAGTATCCTTTCCGGAGGCCACTGATTTTTGCCCCAATTCTGGGAGTTGCCACCTGCAAGTGGTGCCAGGTCAGCCGAACGCCTCCTTCTACGGGGTGCAGAGGCAATCTGGTCAGGAATCCACATGGGGGGTATTAAGTAGGCTGGAAAACAGACCCCATACCATCCTCTTGGGAGGGCATGATAGGCCTTCCTGCCACACACCCAGTAAACGTCCTGACCATGGGCAGATATGGTGCCTCTCAGCAAGCGGGCCAGGCATGCAATCAAATTGGAACCAGAAAAGGTTCCTGCCTCGGACTCAAACATGTTAGTCGGGGCTGGGAAGGTACGATCACAGTGGGAAGTGCCCACATAGGTCTGAGCGTCACTTGTGTCATTTGATTTGTTGACACAAAGGCAGCCAGTGATCCTGTGAACCTGGAAAGGGACGGAATGATTCCATAAAGAAGAATGGTTGCCCAGAGGCTGGAAGGCAACAAGTGGAGTTGTAACCAAGGATTCATTCCAAGGCACAGGGAGGAGTGGCATTCCTCCCAGAGCATCTACAGGGGCCAGAGTGCAGACGGCACAATTGGTCCGATTTGCAGAGAACGCAACCATCTCAGCAACCTGAATCCACTTATTATATGTGTGGTGGGCCCCCCACGATTGCAGCAGTTGTCTGGTCACTGTGAGTGGTATTGGCATTTCAAAGGTCAAAGGCAGCAGAAATACCAGCATGGGGACCCACAGTCGTATTTGAGCCATTGTATGCACGGGGAGGGGCTTAGGTAAGTGCTAGAGAGTGGGCTGGGGTGTAATTACGCTGAAAGAAAAGATCCACTAGACACCCTCCTCTGCAGGGGTGGCGTAAAGCAAACCAGGCCCAGGTACCTTCAATAAAGTTCAGTTATGCGAAAGGAAAGAAAAGAAAATGTGAAAATGTTCTCTTTCAATCCATGCTGGATCCTGGAGCCGTGCCAAGCGTCAGCGTCCGGAGTGACGTAGGCAGGGCTGTAGTCTGGTGGGTGTCGGGTCGTCTGGTGGGCGTTGGGCATCTTGGGTCCCTTCCAACAAGGCTGGAGCGATGTCTGGGCGTCTGGGTCCAATCTGGGTCCTCATCATAGGGATGCAGAGGCTCGACCAAGGCACAAGGCGTTCCAGCAAAAGCTCACCTGTTAAGAGAAGAGATAACAAAGACGGCAGCGATTGCACAGAACAAATGGATAGGTAACATTTGCACATAAGGCATAGGCCTAGCAAACATTAATTCAAAAGGGTATGCTTGGCAGGAAACTTCGCAAGGGGTTAACAGTTCTGTTCCTTGGGTTAAGTTTTGTCAGCTGAGATTTTTACAAGTCTCATTTGTGTGCTCTAGGTTTCAGAGCTTTAAGCCATGTTGCAAATTTCAGTTCATTTGCCAGTGTCTGTAGAAAGAACAATGCGCTCCTTGCTTCTGGCAAAGTTACAAATTCCTTTTTCAGAGTAAAATTGCACCTTAAAAAGAAAAACTTGACAAAGTTCACAGAAAGCATTCACTTGCTTTTAAGAAAGTCACTTCTTCAGGTTAGTACTTTTGGGCAAGGGGGTGGGTAACTCTTGGCCTTCTGGGTTTATGTGGCTGAACTGTAAATCCAGAAAGTGTGAGGTTCAGGGTAGCTGGCTGAATGCAGCAGTGTCCTTCTTGGAATAGCTGCCAAGAGATAACGCTCTGAAGCTACCTCCAAGCGCCTGGCACAAGGAGAAAAAAAAAAGAAAGCTGATGTCCTGTTACTTGCATGAATGAGAAACAGTTAGTTCACTTGCTTCTGCAACAGTCTTTGAGCAAATCATTTTCAGAAACCTCATTCTGTGTGCCGAGCAACCATTGTTGGACCAGGGCCAGGCAGCTTCTGGGAACCTGCGTTTGTTGGGCCTGGTTTATCCTAGTAAGTTTTTTCCGTCTCTCAGGACTGGAGAGGTGGGGTTCAGGCCATGGGGTATCCCTGCACAGATCCCTGTTCTTGCCCTCTGCCTTGATTTTTCTGGAGTTCAGAGCTGGGCTTGTGGCTGTAACGCTGAGGCTCATGGCTGGGTACATAGGCATCGGAACTTTGGTTACTGTTCCCACCCTGTGGGGAGTGGGGTGTGTCGGGCGTGGGGCCTTTGGGCATTCCATTTTCCAGTGACCCTCTTGCCTGCAGATGGCGCACTGGCTTCTTCCCTAGGCGTCTTCTGACCCTCCCGTGGACACCCTCGCTTGCTCCAGGATTGCGTTTTTGGCTTTCTGGCTGCTGGCTGTTTGAAGACAAACCCCTAATTATTTTGGCCAGGTCCTCTTCGAAAGAAGGATTCTGATTTAAGGTGCTTGGAGGTCTGTGGTCCTGGGCATCGGATGACTCCAGGGGGTCGTACACTCAGTGGAGTGGGGCCATCAAAGTGGAGTTTTAGCTGCCTCAATTGCAACTATTAGCTGCCTCAATTGCAACATCAGTATTGTCCGCTGCCCTGAGGGCATTTTTCTTGTGGATTTCCTCAATGGTCAGTAATTGTAATTCTAGGGTTTTAAATCCCTTGGGTTTTAATTGTTTCTTTTTTAACAGTTCTGTCCTATGCGGCTCTCAAAGCCTTCCCTTCTGTTTCTTTCTGCCAGTTCACATCCTTGCATTGTGCTGCTTCTAGAACTCAAGAAGCCACATGGTTCTACATACTGAAACACTCTTTTGGACTGCTTGTCCACTTCACCTTCTGAATTCTTCATTCTCTATACCACCTTCTTCCTCACTTTCCTCTTCTCTTTCTTTTCTCCCTCAGTCTCTTTTCTTGGGGGTTGGGTAGGGGAAACCTCATTTAGCCCTGGTGCAGTTGCTGCATAGGGTGGAGGGGGGCTAATTATTCCATCCTCCTTTTCTTCTGGGACTTCTCTTCTGGGACTGGCAAAACTGCTGGCTTTTTAACTTGTACTTGCTGCCATACTGGGCACAGTTTGGCAGGCACAGGTAATCACAGTTCTACTTTTCTTAAGCCATGGGAGACGGTTAGGAACTCCACATAAGTGTTGGAGTCTATTTTTTCATCAGGTTTTTAAAATCCCCAATCTTCTCCCTTCGTGGCATCTTTTCAATTTGTTCAGGAAAGCATTGCAGGGGGGTCATGGGAGTTGTTTTACTGCTTTTTCTCCATGACCCTGGAACACTTGGACACTTGGGATACTGGGACACTCCCTCCTCCTAACGTTATTTTTTCACTCAGTCACAGGCCAGACGTTGCTTTCAACGTCTCACACACTCAAAACATTCACTGGAGTGTCCCCACACGCACATTCAGAAAAACCCATGCACCTCCCCCAACCCCTTTTTTCCCCCAAAAACCAAAATCACAACCGGCAGTGCTTCACAACTTCGACCGGGGCCCAAGAGCACCTTTTTTACTGCTTCTTCTGGGCACAAAACCAACAACCAACCATAACCGGCAGCGCTTAGACTTCGACCGGGGCCCTAGCAGCACCCTTTGCTGCTTTTTCTGGGCGACACCAAAACCAGTGGCACTTCTTCTACCCTGCTGGCGGAGCTGATCAGGCTCTCTTTTTGCTCACACCTATCCTTGTGGAGCTTGCTCCCACCTATACCCTGTGGAGCTTACCTTTTCCGCTGCGGACCTGTCCCCTCGGCGCCGTCCTCTTTCCTCCCTCGACCTGGGTCCTTGCTCCGGAGCGGTGTGGCTGGTTCCCCCCACAAATTGGTAGGGTGCGCGCGTGGAGCCTGCAATCACCGATCTGAGCTGTCCACCAGGTTGAGCCTGGCTCTCTCCAGCCCTCTGAGGTGGGGCAGTTTCCCGGTCAGGGAACCAAGATGTAGGCTGAGCCTAGTCCATGCCAGGGAATCGTTGGCCCGCGTCCTCAGATCCAGAGAGAGAGTAAAAGAAAACACCAGGAAAGATCCTTCTTTGGAGGAAAGCAGTTTTATTCTCTGTGCACAGGAGACAGCCAGCAGAATAATTTCTGGAGGACTGACTGCCCCGCAAGACACTTCAGCAGACTTTCTTATACCTTCAGAAAGCTCTCTCCCTCCTCCCCACGCCCTCCAGAAACTTCCCCAATCAACTGGAAAGTTTTCAACTTATTTTTAGCATGTCTATAGCCCTCTAAACAGCCCTCCCTATTGTTCCCTATAGTGTCTTTCTAAGCGTCCTGCATCCCCTCGTCCCGCCTCCTCCTCCCGTCTCCCCGTATGTGTCCTTTTTTATCTTGCATTCCTAAGGTAAGAAAGCGAGGCTATTCTGCAGGTCTGGCTGTCTCTAGCCTCTGTCTTATCTTGCATTCCTTCGAGGGGCCTTTTTTGCAGGTGAAGTTATTTCTAGCTCAGAAATTGACTTAGATCCAAGGTATAGAAGAATATGAAGATCCTTCTTAGGCAAAGGTACAAAATATAGAAAGCAAAGGTACAACATATAGAAAGCAAAGGTACAAAATATAGAAAGCAACCCTTCCCTCTCCCTTCAGTTTTGCATAGTGTTGGGACTGTTTCTCCCGCGTCGAAACCAGAAGGACATTACTGGCAGATGGCGGGATATACTTCCCTAGAAGATAAGCAGTGAACAAAAGCTGCTTTCTGCTCCCACCCGAAGACATTGCTATAAATAACAACAACAAAAACTACTAATGAACTGAAACACTCAGGAAAATTCTCTTGGCATTTTTTAACCCAGATGTTTTGGGGTTATTTTGGAGGGAGGTCTGGCTGCCGAGGAATGCAACAGGGCAGTCCAAAAACAACAACCACCCAAACCAAGGGCAGAGACACTCCAATATGTACTTCCAATTCAGGCAGCTTCAAGGAACTCCATGAGCGAGTCAATGGTAATAATAATAAATATACTACTACTACTACTACTACTAATAATAATAATAATATATTATTATTATTAAGATTCATACATCGCCCTATACCTGCAGTTCACAGGATAATTTCACAATATAAAAACGCAGAACACATAATCAAAACAAAAGCAACTGAACACCTCTCATCCAAAAACCAAACCAACACAAAAATAAAACCACTTTAAAAGGGCATTTGATGACAATCCACCAAAGGCCTGGTGAAAGAGGAATGTTTTTGCCTGCCGCCTAAAGGTGCACAATGAAGGCGCCGGGTGAACCCCCACTGGGGAGAGGATTCCCCAAGTGGGGAGCCACTGGAAAAAACCTTGTTCTTGTGTTGCCACCCTCATGGACAGTGGGATAGCTAGCCATTTGGGTGCCCAGGGCACCATGCACGCTGCACATGGAGGACGGGGCTGTCAGGAGTTCAGCCTACACTCGAGTAGGACTCTGGCAGAGACACATGCCCGACTGGCATGTTCTCTCCCTCCTGGTTGGTCGTTCGGGAGCTTCATAAGCTTTCTTCCGCCTGAACATCACAGCGACCGATGCCAACCGACACCGGCACACTTAGGGATCCACAGAGTTTGCGCAGTTGCGTGACAGACCTCAGCAACTCAGCATTTTTGCTAATATACTTTATTTACATGTAAACACACACAGAGCACTGCAACATGGCTCCCTCTCTCTCTAGCATCAGACAGCAAAGAGAAAAAGTACAAAGGACAATAGTCCCATTTCACGGAACACAGTAACACAAACATCCTGTCTCCGTCACTTCCCACTCTGTGGAGTCAAAACATACACCGTCATGTGATAGACAGAAATCCCATGACTGCAGTCACGGAGCAGGAATTCTAACAGGGGCAATGAGGCCTGCAGAGCAGGATGCATCAGAATCCCAGCGCCCAAGCCCTGCTCTAGCACCCTGCAGGCTCGCGTTGCTTTTTTGGGCACCCAAGCCACTGCATCATGCCCAGGAGAGATGCGTGGCTCAAGCAAGTGCCACACCTCTCAGTGTGGCACCCAGTGCCTCCCGCCCCTCCTTAGCTATGCCTTTGCTCAGGGAGGAGGCACACAAAGAAGGGCTCAGGAGATGATCTCCAGGACCGGGTAAGTACATATGGAATTATTCAAGCTGCCTCGTCTTTCTTTGGTATTTGGCTCACTGAAAGTGGATAGGAAGAGAGCCAGTGTGGTGTAGTGGTTAAGAGCGGTAGTCTCGCAATCAGGTGAACCGGGTTCGCTTCCCCGCTTCTCCACATGCAGCTGCTGGGTGACCTTGGGCCAGTCACACTTCTTTGAAGTCTCTCAGCCTCACTCACCTCACAGAGTGTTTGTTGTGGGAGAGAAAGGGAAAGGCGAATGTTAGCTGCTTTGAGACTCCTTAGGGTAGTGATAAAGCAGGATATCAAATCCAAACTCCTCCTCCTCCTTCTCCTCCCCCCCCATGTAATACCAGAACTTGGGGGGCCATCCTATGAATCGGAATGTTGGAAGGTTCGGGGCGGACACCAGGAAGTTGTTCACACAGTGCAGAGCCAATCTACAGAATTTGCTCCCCCTAGGAGGTAACTATTGCCACCTTCCCACTCACACTTTACAGCCCTCCCGATCTCCCAAGTCTCCTTGCAGCTCCTGGTACAGTGGTACCTCGGGTTAAGAACTTAATTCGTTCTGGAGGTCCGTTCTTAACCTGAAACTGTTGTTAACTTGAGGTACCACTTTAGCTAATGGGGCCTCCTGCTGCCGCTGCTGCGCAATTTCTGTTCTCATCCTGAAGTAAAGTTCTTAACCCGAGGTACTATTTCTGGGTTAGCGGAGTCTAACCTGAAGCATAGGGACGCGGGTGGCGCTGTGGGTTAAACCACAGAGCCTAGGACTTGCTGATCAGAAGGTCGGTGGTTCGAATCCCCACGACGGGGTGAGCTCCCGTTGCTCGGTCCCTGCTCCTGCCAACCTAGCAGTTCAAAAGCACATCAAAGTGCAAGTAGATAAATAGGTACCGCTCCAGCGGGAAGGTAAACGGTGTTTCCGTGCGCTGCTCTGGTTCACCAGAAGTGGCTTAGTCATGCTGGCCACATGACCTGGAAGCTTGGCCAATAATGCAAGATGAGCACCGCAACCCCAGAGTCAGTCACGACGGGACCTAATGGCCAGGGGTCCCTTTACCTTTACCTTTAACCTGAAGCATCTGTAACATGAAGTGTCTGTAACCCGAGGTACCACTGTACTGGCATGTGATGTCACATGGCTCTGGCCACCCACTGCCCGCCTGGTTTACACAGGAAAAACTGATGGTGGCGTAATATACCTTCTCCTTTTCTTACAGACCTTTCTGTAGCAATTTTTTCATTAGGTCAGAAAAAGTATTTGTCCTCTGTGACTTCAGATGTGTCACAATTGCTGCTAGGTAAAACCCGTTCTGGGAGGAATTGGGAGGGGTGTGTGTGAGGGGCAGAAAGCCAAATATGCAAAAGTGGCTCTCATACCTCAGTGCTGACCGAGTCAATTTTATATATATTTGGTACAAATGATGGGAACAAAAACACACACTAAAGCGCTCCCCCCCTCCCTCTCCCCTTCCTTCCACTGCCCGCTATGCAGCGATCTGTAAAAGGAACCTACTCTGATGCAGTTTGAAAAGTGCATTTTGTACTTGGCCGTCCCTTTGATCAAATTAATCTGAGCCTTTTTGTCGTCCTAAATGGGGGCCTATGGGTTGACAATGTAGCTGTTTAAAGGGGATTTTAGGGGATAATAGCCAATGCAAATAGTGCCATGAGAATGGCAACTTTGCTTTTGCACTCTCTCAATTGCATAATAACGGCAAAGGAGGCTTAAAAAAAAAAGGGGGAGAAAAAGAATTGAAATTTTGTGGCCACGCCATCTGGGATTATTTGAGGGGAAACCAGTTCTGAATGCTGCAGTTGTATAAAAAGTTGTATGAAAGAGTGGCCCACTCTTAAGCTGACATGTTTCAGATGGTAACCTTATGCTAACTGCTGCAAAGTTGGCTAGCATTCCCCCCCCCCCATATTTCTTCCTTTCTTTTTGGGTTATCTGCCCCCCACCCCACTCCTAAAATGTCTTTTGGGCTTGGAAAAACTTTGTCATTGTCAGGGAATTCAATTCAAGCCCCTGGCAGCTGCTGATCCTGTCATTGTTCTGATCATTATATATATGCCGCAGAGATGAATGTAGCCCAAGCCTTTTAGTGCCTTAATAGGTGTCTGCATAAAGGTCATTTCTTCTTGTGCCCTTGTTTTAACAAAAGTTTATACACAAACAAGTGCAGTGAAAACATCCAAGTTGATCAGGGCGCTCCTTGTGACAAAAGTGACGAGGATGGGTAATGGAAACCTATATGAGGCATGGAAGATATATCTGGCATGCCATTAAAATCCTGAAGAAAAACTGCACCGCATCAACAACGCCCATATAGAAAAATCGTTTCGTAGATTTTCCACCTCCAAGGGGTTGTATAGAGCTAGAAACTGTTGAAGTATTTTTCAGGTGCAGCTGGCCTTTGGGGCGGTGTGTGGATTTGATGCAGAATTTTTATTTTATTTTAATTTTCCGAGCACATTTCAAAGTGTTGGTGTTGACCTTTAAAGCCCTAAACGTCCTCGGCCCAGTATACCTGAAGGAGCGTCTCCACCTCCATCATTCTGCCCGGACACTGAAGTCCAGCGCCGAGGGCCTTCTGGCGGTTCCCTCATTGCGAGAGGCAAAGCTACAGGGAACCAGGCAGAGGGCCTTCTCAGTAGTGGCACCCGCCCTGTGGAATGCCCTCCCACTAGATGTCAAAGAGAAAAACAACTACCTAACATTCAAAAGACACCTGAAGGCAGCCCTGTTCAGGGAAGTTTTTAATGTATGACATGTTAGTGTATTTTTGGCCTTTGTGGAAGCCACCC